GTGATTCTGTGATTCTGTGATTCTGAGTCCACATTGGGATAGGGAGGAAGGAGCACTGAGGAAGAACACACTGAGGGCCCTTTCCACAGGTTTAAGGATGATGTGAAAATGGCAAACTTGGCATAGAACTCCTTGGGAAGAGGATTTGCACTATAGCATTTCATGGTTCTATTCAGTTATTTCAGAACAAAACACTCCTTCTAAAGGTAGCCCCCTTTTTTCCTTTCCCTGACTCACTGTTCCCAGACTAATGATGCTAATAGGTCACGGCCATTATGGCTAATACACACATAATTTCATAATCAATGTAGTTTGAGAGTCTACTGCCTACCTGTCTACATTAAGAACAAGAACAGGGAAATGAATCAGTACAATGGGACTCTACCTGCACACAGTGTTCCACAATGGGATGTGACACCTTATGTGGTTTGCTGAGACGGCCAGTGAAAAAACAGACTTGGCAAAGGTCAAAATTGAGGCACTTCAGACAGCGATACCTGTGAGGGAAAACAGAAGGATTAAGTTACTTCCCCACAAGTAAGAACTTCATTACCCAGATCCCTGGGTCCTGAAATGCAGAGAAGCACCTTTGTTAGAATAATGTCTTTTCTCAGCTCTCTCTGAGTGTAAGAGTCATTTTGTCCAAATGACAGTGGACTGTTCTCCGGAACCCACTAATGATTTTGACATTACTTATTTGCTGCATTGAAATTCAGTCCAAGGAAGAACCGGTTGTTCTAGCACCATTTTTGAGACTGCAGTTACATCTTCATACGCTTCTTAAGCACCAGCTTATCTCCATTTGCTGCTCTCATGGAACTGTAATATCACTACGTTACTGACACAGGATTTGCAACTTTGCAAAAAACTAAAAATGCAAAAAAACTAAACCTGCAAGCTTACTATTAGTGTGAAGAGAGTAACAGTAAAATGCTTTTCTGAGCATTCTGGTTGGCAGGTAATGGGTAGTGTTCTTTTTATACCATGAGGCCATTTTATACTATTACTTAGATGAATAAGATGCTATGATGGATAACTTAACTAGCTAGTTGATACACCTGATTATGGGACAAAGAACTAAGAAATGTGATACAGAGGTTTAATTGGTTTTAACACTGAACTGCCAGTTTACTTTCAGTATGTCTCCATAAGCATGTCTGTGCTAGTGAACTAAAGAGAAGCAGGATGCAGGCTTGAGCACTAGCCTGTGATGGTTCTCTCTTTTTTTATCTTACTTGTTCAATTAGATTATGTCCAAAGTTTGTTGCTTAATAAAGCAGTTAGAGCCTGTAAGGTATGCAAACAATGGTAAGAACTATTTATGTGGATGCTAAAGACTACAGTAATTACTGACACACCTGAGGCCTGTAATGGGGAAAATTTTGCAGACTCTGCATCTAGCTTGGTGAGAAACCATTTCTGTGGCTGATAATCTGTAACACGTAGGGAGCCACAGGAGAACAGCAGGCTCCGATCTCAGCCAAGACAGGAACTTTTCTTCAACAATTGCTGAGTTCAGAACCTGGAAAAAATACGTCTCAAGTCAGCCACTTACTTGAAAAGAACTGGTGTCTACAATTCCTAATAAAAGCTCTGATATTGGAGTCTGCTAGTATAGACTTACTATTCATGTAAAATGCTACTGGGTTCCAAAGGTTTTGGAACAAATGCAAGTCTTCAGTAGTATCTTACTGACTATCTGCTCTACAGATATAAATCCTCCTATACTAGGAGACTGGTGGATGTTATATGGTGATACACTTGCCATTTTAATCAACCAGCAACATTCAAAATCATTTCCCGGGACATCAGAATTTCACTCACCTCATGGAAACAGCTGTGAGTCGCAATTTCCACACAAGACAGAGTGCAGCTTTCTCCCACAATGGCTGGGATCTGTGTCAAGAAGAAAGGTTCAGAAACACCTCAATAAAAACCAGAGGTTCCCATCATGGTCTGCTGAGATGATGACAGCACACAGATGGTGAAGCAGCTATACAAATGCCATTTTACATACTGTTCTGAAGAAAACCTGTTCATACTCATACCATCCCATGCAATTTCATAGTTCAGTATCTGTCAGAACGATTTGCTTCCAGCTCACTTACTTAAACGGATCAACATACTATTTTACCATACTAGAATACTGAAGGACACCAGGTTTGAACCTCAGGGGCCATCTTCAGAGCCAATTCAGCTGGAAATACCTGTATGCTAAGGCATTTTTCTGCAACTGTAAGCTATCCTAGTGAGTACAGACATCTAAGTTTGCAGTCACTTTAGGAACAGCTGTATGCAGCTGTTCCCATGACCTGTAAGCCCAGGCAAAATGAATGCACAGGAGCACTGATGTGAGTGGTTACTCAGACTGAGAAAAGCTACAGAATTTGATTCTTTTACCTACTTTGTATGGTAGCACCCTTATGTACACAGAGTGCCCTACTGACTTCAGTCTCATAATGTAATAAAACATAAAATGTATCAACCATGTATTTTTTTCTCCTAGATTAGGATACTCCTACAAGACCTGCTGTGTGACAGCACTGCAGGGGCATTACCTGATTTAAGTCTGTTAGCAGGCTTCTCAGGGAACTACGGGTAATCATGGCAACCTTCCCATCAGGGACAGAATAAAACTGGAAGAAAGCTGAAAACAACCAGAGGAAAGAAACTGTAATCCTGGCAGAGGCTAGAGTGTGAATAAGTAGCTAGTGTCTTCTAGCTACTTATTCTCAAACTATCTACATGATGATTACAGACTACCAAATAAACCCCTCAAGAAAGCTCCCCTTTATTGTCTATCTAACAGGCACTCAGTGACGGCTGTGACAATACTTTCTTCCTAAAGGCAGGGGAAAGAGAAGGAAAGCAAGGCAATTATGGCAACTCCTTATTCCTGTCAGCTAAGACAGTTAAGGATGAAGGAAAAAATGAGTTCATTTTCATGGCAGTAAGAAAAATATTTCAATATGTTTATACAAGATATGCCCAATTTAAATTGTGAAGTGTTAATTCCAAATTGTAATTTGGAAGGAAATACACAACATGCAATGGGAGAGCATGAGGTCAATACGCCACTTGTAGTCCATTTGTTCTTCATTTTGAGCATTTAATTCAGGCAGAAATCTTTCTGCTGCACATTGGACTGGGCAGCCTTTGTTATACTTAGTTCTTTAAGCATTTTTGTCTAATATTAAAAGGCCTCTAAAAAGCTTACTGGGTCAAATATATTAAATTGTTTCTAATCCAATGGAATTTAAAACTAGGGGTTTTCTGTTCTTTTCTACTAGGCAAAGAGAACTTGGCTTTTATTTTTAAGTTCTACTTATCTTAAACTTTACTATGAGTTGTTCTGAGACTCTTTATGCAAAGATGGCTACAGACATTGATGGAAAAGTATTCTTCTGCACCAGCCTTTCTCTACAACTAAGCAGTCAACATAATCTTCATTTTGCATAGCAGAACTGTATTTTCTTTTAAAGTAGAAAAATTACAAAAGAGATTTTTCTCAATGTTAAGTATTTTAGGCAGTGTATAAAACCATACATTTCCCACCTCTGTATTTAGCCAGTAGGGTGTCTCCTGAAAGGGCAATTAGGGCAGCTGCAGCAGATCTAGTTTTGATATAACCTGTTCCAGATCTGGGAAAATAAGTTACACTTTGTTCACCGAGAATGAAAAAACTGAAACCTCTAAAGAAAACAATACTGCTATACTTCAAAACTCTTATCCTTTTATATGTATATAACTGATGTTGCATTTTAGTGATATTTTATGTTTAGGACCCTTTGTCACTGAACATAACTACAGAGTTAACTGTTCAACATACCATGGAATCGTAAAACAAAAAGACAGCATTTCCTTCAAAGACCTCACATTTCAATTAAAATGCAATTTTACATTTACAATACATGTCCTAAAAAAATTTCTGCTCTTCATTTGTGGAAAGCCTTCCCAAATATGGAAGAGAAAGCAGTATTACAATCCCGTTTTTGTATTTATCATCAGGCAGCTTCAGTGAGGTCCCAGATCTGCACTGAGCTTCTCTTGGGCTGATTCTCCTTAATTTCACTGCAACTCAATTTAATTAAAAGGATATATGCAGGAGCAGGACTTTAGTTTTGACCATTAGATCATAAAGAATGTAGCTTAGTTTAGAACACAAGTTTGTGACATAGGCATCTAATGAAAAAAAATGTTTCTTTATGTGAAGACAAAGCAGACATGAATTGGAAACTATAAATCAGGAAATTCTGGAATTCTATATTTATTGCTTTTGCAAAGCAGTATTGCACTTCAGAATACGATTACATAAAATTGTCTTCAAGAGTCTTTAGATAAACTGCATTTTTACAGAGCATACTGCATAGAGCTGCAATATAGTCTCTATAAAGTATGAGCTGCACGGGAAATTGTTGGTCAAAAGTTTCTAGATTTTGAATTAATATATTTAGTTTTTTCCAGAACTTTCATAGAAAAAAGTCCAAAATCAAAGCTAAAGTGTACAATCAATTATGTAAGCTTATTAAGTAAGCTACCACACAAACATGGAAAAAGCCCTTATGCGCTCTTGCGATTAAATATTTTCCAGTGTTAGTAGTGGAGAATAGCACTCTACGGAGAAAATGCGATTAGAAGAAAATTGTAAGAAGCTTCTTCTATCCTATATACATGACAAGAAACTTGTGGAGATTTTTTTTTTTAAAGGAAATTATGGAAAAAAATAAAATTACATACTGTCCTAAGAAAACAGAAAAAAAGACCAAGATAGTCCTATTAAGAAGATTCATCTAAATTATTTCCCTAGAGTGCATAAAATTTACAAAATATTCTTGATATTTCTGGCTTTGCTTTTTAATACACCAGTTTATTCTTAGCCTTAACTGTTTTTTTTTAAGTACAAAAAAAGTAATAACATGGGACCTTAAGCAGTAGTGATCATATTAATGAATAGCAGTACAAGAAAAAGTCCTGCAGACCACTTACATCACACTTTCATAAAAAACTTTGCTCTGATGTAGAAGAGAATAAATTTCACTGGTGGTGAATAAATTGTACAATGAATTTAGCTTTTGTCTTTTAAATCTGATACAATTACAAACCCATACCACCTTTAGTGAATTAATTCATTATTCACAAACAATACATGAAAAAAGTATACTGTATGAGTTGCTTCCTAATCATTCCCAGAAACTATTTGCTATTCACAGGAACTAGCTGATGAGCTTAGTTATGAGACAGCAGCTTTGTTTCATAATTGGTTGACGAAATTTTTAAGCTGGAGAAAAATGAATAATGAAAACTGACTGGCAAATTCTTGACCTGTACATTGGTACTGTAATTCAAAGGCAAATACAGCTTCTTTTTCAGGAGTGTATCAGAATATCTTGGCAGTCAAAACAAGAGCTACTCTCTGTAAATCTGTTCACAGAAAAAGCTGGCATGTACTGGCAAACATCGGGACTTCCAGATAATTTTGGAAACATTTGACCACTGGTTTTCTGATAAAGCCTTGTGCCTCATATTCCTTTAGCTGAACTACTCCCATTGTGTATTCCCAGCAAAATACCATCAAAATGGGAGTTTCATAGAGAAATGGTATAAGAGTGGTAGAAACAGACTTAGTCTAGCAGTACTTAATGATGGATTCACATATATGCTTCCTCTCACCTGTCATACATGGCAGCTAGCAGGCTCAACGTGAATTCAGCAGCTCGTGGATCTACCTGGCCTGGTTTCTCTAATCTTGCCCTTTGGAACAGTTCCATCAGTATTTCAGAGAGCTGCTGCACTTTCAGAGAAATCTGCTTTTCCCTCTGGCTCTGTTCACTTGGGAGGATGTGCTGAATCAGAGAAATATCAATCAAATCCACTGTGGGAAATTGAGGGAGAAACGAATGAGGATCCCTGCATTTTCATGAATGGAAGCTGGACATATTTTTATTAGAAGTGCCTAGCTAAGACAATGTAGAATGAAGTCTAAAACAGTATGCAACATCACAAGGAAATAATCTGGGAAAGGTCTTGCTGAGTTTATGGATGTAGCAAAACTTGTGAGGCTACAAAGATAGAACAGCTCAACTAAAATTCCCTGGATGTGATTTTGGGATAGATATGAAGGGAGGGAAAGTAGCACAATAAACTGTATCCAAATTACAGAGGAAAAGAACATGATTAACTGCATCCAAACTACAGATCAAACTTTCATTCTACATATAGATAGCATAAAACTAATGCACCGTTCAGTACTTCAGAAAAAAGCTCACATGGGACTGTGAAAATATTTGATGTAAGCTTTCTCCTCATGCACAAATACAAAGAGAAGGGGAATGCTATGGCCAAGAAAGGGGCAAACAGGATGTATTATAAATGTGTCACAGAAAAACTAATATCTGTCAGGAAGAGAGAGCTACTGCTTCTTAAAGGTCACATTCAGTACCACAGAGGTATGATTAATTGAAATTAACATCAGAAGAGAAAGATTGTAGTAGATTGAAAGTTTGTAGACTGCTGAAGAAGCAGAGAACTTAGAATATGTCACCTATGTTTTTTCCAGCACAGATGGAAAAATATCAGTGTGAGACACTGGTGAATCTCTATTTGGAAACCTACGCACAATTCTGGTCAACGGTGTTCAAGGAGTAGAGGAACCAGGACAGATGCTATGAGTGCCTTGAAGAGACATGGAGGACTAGGCAACAGAGCTAAAGAAAACCAGTACCTGTGTGAATAGGTACTGCATGCTGTGATACTTGGCACCAGGCAGATTTACCATATCAGGGCTGAGATCAGACAAAATACATTCATAGAAGAGCATGCCCAAATTTAAAAATATGGCCAAGGCCAACAAACTAGTCATCTCTTCTGTGCTACCCTGAAGACTTCACTTGCAATGTTGTGCATTTTTGGAAACAGACTGTTTCAGGTGGAAAATTCAAGATTTCCATGCGTTTTACCTCAATATGTAATTTACATCCACTAATTTCAAAGCAAGCTAGGTGACCAGGGCTTTGTTCCATAATTCTTTGCTTGCACAGAATTCTCACTCATGTCAAAGACAAGGAGAATGAGTGCTAGCCAGGTGTTTTCTGGTCTATTTTGTTCTCATTAATACTTATACTAACAATATGTGTCAATGCAGTTTTGATGATCCATGATTATTTCAAATAAATCAGCTTCCAAGAAACACATGAGAATTTGACATTTAATGAGAATAATAATACACTGATAAAGATTTGTAATTGCCAGTAATGTCTACATACCAGTGTTGCAGATTGTAGTAACAATTTGATTCTCCCACACCTTTAGAATTTTACTAATGTATTTTCACTGACATTCAAAAGGGGAAAAAAATCGACTTGTATATGAGGTATTATCTAGCTCTTAAGTGTTCATAATGCATTCTGAGATACTCAGGTGGAAAATGAGAGAGCAAAGTACAATAAGAACTCATGGTGACAGCAACACAAATTTTTTACAGATTCTTCTCCCTGTCAAAGAACAGGATTCTCTCCATTTACTAACACTGGCACAGACTTTGAACCGAGCGTAGTTTTAGGGCTGTTCTGTAGATGGAGCTCTGAACATCACCGAAAGCCTCTGTGAAAGAAAACAAACACACGTTACAACTGAGTGGTTTGTTTCAAAAAAATCCAAACAAGCAAACAAAAAAAAAAAGGAAGGAAAGAAAACCAAATTGTCTAACTAAAAATAGCCACATTTGGACTCACAACACTTTGAATTAAAATTTTGAAAAAAAAATTAAAAAAAAAAACATTTTCTTTTTTCCAATAGCTTTGTGGGGAAAATGGTCTCCATATGACTAGTGATACAACAAATCTTAAAAATAGTATTTAACATAGAGAGTACACTCTCTTCTTTGGGAATCAAGTCTATTCAGGGACAAGAATGATATGCACTGTGAATACTTTTAGCCAAGATCATAATGAAATAATATTTCTTCAGGCAAAATTGTTTCTTAATCAGAGATGCTCTTCTGCAAGAAACAGTTTGTCAGTCTGCACAACAGGGTTAGTGTTCTGGATGCATATCGTTTCAAGTATTAAGCAAATTTTCTGTCAAGATCAACATCTGTGACTCTCTCAGAAGAAAATAAGCAATTTACCAGAGCAACTGGTTTTGACACCTCTGCTTTGTAACCCCATTCAAGATGCTCCACTAAATCCCATACCTTTACATGATTTCAGCTCATTCCTTTCACATCACTAAAGCATGTTTTTCTGAGTGGGAAGTAAGGGCTTCTGAACATGACATATACCTGGTACTTCACACACATATCTAGAACTTCAAGACAAAAAAAAAAAAAGGGGGCTTGTTCACAATAGCTTTAGAAACTAGAAGGGGATTTATCAGTTATACTCCTGTCCTCAGAGAGGAAGAATTACTCACAGTTGATTAATGTCAAAGATAAGCAACAAATACATGTAACTGGGTAGAAATAACTGATGAAACTCTCTACCTGTTTAGTCTGGAAATGACCCAATCTGTGTGCAACAGTTTCCCACAAATGTACCAGATTAATGTTAATAGTCAGCAAATTATGGGCTCTGCTGTTTCCCAGATGCTGCCTAAGATATAGAAATAAGCCAATATCTGCTATACCATCTGTTTAGGCCTGCTCTTGTCATATTATGTTTTGTGATATTATTTGGAGATTTAGTGTAGCATGTCATACCATGTGAAAAATGAATTTTGACTTCCATGCATCATCATTTCTCTTTCTTCAGTAAACAGATCCAAAGCTCTTTTTAAAGTAACAGAGAGACTACCACAGTTTTCAGTAGGCTATAGATTAAATTCCAAATGCTTATTATTTCAAATACAAATGTTAGAAATATACACACGATCCAAATCAAGCACCTTTTGTGTGCATGATGACTTTGTAAGTGGAGGGAATCTGTTTTAGTAGCCATCTGCTACTCAGTTCAAGTCCATCCTTATAGATAAAATGTGGCCTCAAAGTAGGCCATTCAGTGCCTGTCAAGCAATAGTTCCAGAATTAACTTGCAATAGCACACAAGTGAAACAGCAGGCAAAGAAAAAAAAAAGCCCAAATTAAGTACAAACTATTTTAGGATTATTATTTATGAGAGGCTGTTTGGGGCCTCACAAACTCTTTCACTTCTCATAAGGACGGAACTTTCCCTTTGGACAGAAAACCAGCATGTAATCATTCTGCAGTGGATCGAATTTCACCTCAAGACTCATAAATGCCCTTTGTTGAGAAGCTGACAAAGGAATTCTAAACACCTATGGAAAACAGTGCATTGTTTCCTGACACCTCCAGCTGGTTACCTGCTAGTTCTGTATTTTGCACTACTGGTTATATAGCAGATCTGCTAAGATTTTGCACTCAAAAAGGGACTGTATGGCCATCCTTCGTGCTGTTCTAGAATATGTGAAGAAAACCTTATCATATACATTAAACTAGGGAACATGGCTCCTGTGCGCCTGACCGTTCCATAAGCCAATGTGATAATGGCAGTGAAGGTGCCAGGACAGATCCAAAAATAAAAGTAGGATAGCACAGCTGTATTATTTGTAATTTATGTGTTACAGCACAGAGATTTTGAAAGTGGCATGACTTCACCACTATTTATTAGTTTGTGTCCAAACAGACACAGAAATGTCCCTTGAGAAAAGTTGGGAAAAAAAGGAAAAAAAAAAGAAAAATCCTTACCCTGCAAATCTGGATCCATTTGAAATGAACAGATGGCATCAGACATTCTATAAAGAAACAAGACAAAGTGTAAAACCACATTTTATAAACAGAGACATATCAAATCATTCAAATCAAGCCTTTTAATCTGAAAAATTTACCGATGCCTTTCAGAGATGAAATTAAACAGAATTACATAAAACAGCATAATAGTTTTGGTGCCAAGGGCAGAGAAACTCCAGAAAATTACATGCTCTCTGCTCAGGATAAAGTAGGAGTAACTCTAGCAACTGCAAAATTGTATTGGGGGAAAATAGCCCCCAAAACAGTTTCAAGTACAGGAAACGGGATGTTTCACTATTGAAGAGTCTGGTGTTTACATACAGGATTACTACAGAGTCCACAGTGTATAATTTCAGGTCAGAAAGGGCATACCTTTACACCAGAATCTTCCCAAGATTCATTGACTGCAATTGCTCACAAGTCTATTTTTTAAAATTTTCAAACTGAACTAAAGTTTTCAGCGGACCTGCCACTATTTCTTTTTGAGCTGAGAAGGAAAGGAAAAAAGGAAGCATAACTATGAATCTACTACTTTACACAACCCCGAAAGCAAAAGTAATTATGTCCCTAATAATAATAGAAACTGAATGTACCCCCTCAGGATTTATTTCATTAATCCTCTAAATGACATATTTTTAAACATTAAAATATAAAATATATATTCAGTATAGTAACTGTCTTTCAGTTAATATTACAGTTGAAAAACACTAGGTATAGCAGATCTAAGTTACACGAGACTCCAAAAGCCACATACATGGCTTATAGCAGCAAAAAAAAAAAAAAGGAAATTTGCTAAAATAAATAAAAATTAAATAGTTGGAAATAATCTAAAACTTAAATAATAAATTTGGTATTAAATCTGAACTTATCCAAATGTTCACTTTTTTCCATTTTTCCAGCAAGTCATTGATCATTTGTCATAAACATGACAATACCAGCCAAATATGAAGCACAAATTTTCAGTGACCTATAATTGAGTCTACCATAAATGTTCTTCTCCCCATTTTAATTGGTGAAAGCTGCAAGTTTGTGTTTCAATCTCTAAATAATCTATAAATATTTAAAATTATGGAATATAGATTTACTTTAATTACTTCTTCATTTAAGACTACAATGTCACGGTTCTTATTGAAGTAGTTCTTTGAAAGAAATACCACTACATTTCTTTTTCACAATTCTTCTGTTTTCTTCCTTACTAAAGTTTAGAGGTTGGACTCAACCCCAGGTTCTGCATGACTGCAGTTCTGCCCAACATTTACACAACCATGTAACTTTGCTCATACTCCTAAACCAAGTGCAGCAGTATTTGCCTCTGCATAGCCTGATAGAAATGGGAAATCAATGGAATCAGAAGATTCTAAGCAATGAATTAAACATAAGAGTTTAGTGAAAGCTACATATACCAACCTGAAAGATAGACTTACAAACACACAGCTTGCCTCATGCTTTCCACCTTTTTTTCTTTCCACCAGAGGTACATAAAATAAAGCAAGAGGATGAATGTAAAAATACACAGGTTAAACTCACTTAAATTAGAACTCACTAATTAGAATTTCCTCACTCAAATAAGAACAGATCCACTGACTTCACTGAATTACACAGCATGCATAATCTATTAGCATTTGATACTTACTGTAAGATGACAAGCTCTCTATCCAGTACAGCGCAATGTCTAACGTTTACATTGCCCATATGGATAAACACACTATACTCTTGTACTAGGGTATGAATGGTCTCAAAGTTAAGTATGTGTTTGTATGTTTTACCAAACTGACTGACATTGCACAACATCATAACACCATACCCATGAACCCTCTCTCCAAAAAGTTATGAGAGGCATTATTAAGAGTCTACATTTTTATCTATAAAACTCTATGGAATAGAGTCCAGATCTTGACTGCAGTAGGAGAGCTTGGATGAAATGAACAGGATCTACTTCAGTGTTAGCTCATCTACTTTATAACGAATATAGCATGAAACCAGAAGCAGCATCTGCCTGACAAAACGTCAAATCAGAACCAACTCTGCTCACTGATACATTCTTTCAGTCAGTGTGTTGTCTTTCAGCTACATCTGCACTTTATTAATAATTAAAAACACTTCTACAAAACAAAAAAAATTTAAATTAATTACAAATGTACAGGAAATAAATTTTTTCAATTATAAACTGCAATACTATTAACACAAATACTGTTATGTGTAGCCTTATTTTCAATCCTATTGGAATGTGCAAAAAAAGTAACGTTTGATTACTTATATGTATTTCATTGGCCTATTCAGGTTCTCAGAATACATACTTTAGCAAATAAAATACATTTTTAAACATGCTACATAATTAAGTTAAAGTATAGAGAAAGACAAACCAGATCAAATAAGGCAGAAATCAATCTCCCAGCAGATGAATTGACTTGATCACAGAGGCCTTCCTTCTTTTGAAATCAGACAACATATGATCAACATTTTAAATACGCATAAAATAAACTACAATTACTTTTGCTTCCTGTGGAGGGTGAAAACATTCTATGCTGTGTTCAAAGGACAAAATTATTGTGTCCTCTTAAATACAGTAATAGCACTTACCTTCCTCTCAGCTACTTGCTGAAGGCCCAGAACTCAGATGACACCACCAGTGAAGTCCAGTAGTTTTATAGCACTTAAAAAGGTGACTTCAAGACACAGTTCTAAAGGTTTTGCTTTTAAATTAATGCTGTTCACAACAAATGCCTGCCAAAGGCCCAGATCAAAGTATCAGGTAATTGTCTAAGCAGTCAAAACAGAGAACACAAATTAATTAGTAATAAATATCATTAATTATTAAAGACAAAACTTCTTTGATCTTTGTTTCAAAGCAGTTTTTTCTATGGTTGGAGTGCAATATTTCTAAATTGAGGGGCCTTTACTAAGCATCTCCCAGTTGCTGAGGAACAGTGTTGCTATAGAGACTGAAAATGAGGTGGAAGCTGGCACAATAATGCAGAAAGCACAGTGTGCTGTAACAAACAGTTGGTGCAACTACACAAAGAGGAAAAATAGTAAGTCCTAGTAGTAATGTCCTAGAGTAAGAATTGTTCAGACCAACCAGAAAGTTTACACACTCTTCAGTACACCCAGATGCTAGGGTTTATGCAGAATACATATAACATTTGTAAGACACATATATTTATTTTAAAACCTTTTTTCATAAATTTTTCCACAGTTACTCTAACACCCAGGTAGTAGGATTCATCAGTGCTATGAATACCCTGCATACATAGCATTACTCAGTAACTTGTGAGAAAATCTGTACCAGAAACTACTTGTTACTTGTAGAAAACCCAAACTTAGTGAAGACTAAGTCTATCACTGTGTTACAACTGGAACCACCTTTGAATATGTTACCATATTTTAGCTTTCCTATTATTGCTATTCTTTCTTTCTCTCCTAAGCAAAACCTAGGAAAAACTTTTACCATTCTGTTAATCTTCCATGAGCAAAAACCTGAATTTCCCTTTTTAGGCAGTCTAATTAGAATAATTTAGACACAAGAGCCATACAAGCCATTTGTTTTGTCTTTCTCCTCCCCACCTCTGAGAAGAAATTCTTTGCCTGAGGTTTTCGGGTAGTGACTCAGAAGTCCAGTAAGCCTGCTTATATATTGCAGAAACAATTTCCTTCTCACTAACAGCTGTGCAGTGCTGGTGCTTGAACTGCAGTCTGTTTGAACTACTATCTCCACAGGCAGAATAAAGAATCCTAAGATCCTGCCAAATCATATTCCATACAGAAAAAAACAAATGTAAATAGACATTAGAGAAGCTAACTTTTCCTCTCCTGTCTTGGAGAAGGAGATATGGAACAAACCAGGTAGTTAATAAGGACTACTGGTAGCATCCTTACCTGCTATGCTCTCCTGAGACATCTGCCTCCAGATGCTTCTCAGAGACCCAGCCAATTTTTTGCACATACGTTATTAGAAACTAATTCCCTGGAGACCACTTCCTCATGAAATTAATGATTCTTAACCACACTCTTGAAGACTTTTTACAACACCCTGCAACTCCCATGTGAACTCTTCCATGAAGATACTTGCAACATCTCAGTTCCTGTAAATGTTTCTCTCCCACATACATTTCACATAAGAAATTACACTCTTCCAACTCCCTTGTGATACTCCAGCTTTCTGTGCTCCTCTTTCTAAGACTGGTGAGACACTCCTCATTCTGTCCACACCAGCTAACAAATAAACTCCTGTTGGTTTCCTCATGTAAGAAGAACTCTACCCCTGTTCAGAGTTTGAACCTCCACTTGAACAGAAAGAATTAATGTATTCCAACTATATATATCTGATCCAAAGAGCAGGAAACTTTCTACTTTTCTTTAAACACTCACATCTGATAAAAAATTAGCAAATACAATAACATTTCATTTTACACAGTCTCCACCTTTTAAGACACCAAAGATGTGCAAGTGAAAGTGGTTCCTCAACAATCCTGTTCAAAGACTTAATTAACTGCATGTTTGACTTAAAACATGAGTTGTCCCTATGAAACTCATGAAATAAATAAAAAACATGAAGACAAAAAAGATCTTGTCACTAAGGAGATGTATGCCTTTAATTTTTTGTGTTAAAAAATCAAATTTGCCTGAGAATATATATTGTTACACAAGTACTGTGTTTCATTACACCTGAAGAAAGAATTTGGACTTATAAAACTGCTACTCTGTGTGTGAAAATCTTGCTCAAAATTGTCATAATATGAACATTTTAGACATTAAACTATGTTTTCAAAACAATTTATTGGTCTGAAGAAATAAGTTGTTGGATGTAAATGAAATCCTAGACTCACTAAAGTTTTAGGAATTTTGCTTTGGTCTCTAGATTAAGAATGGTTTTGAAATATTTTTCTGCCTACATATTTCCATGTTTTTTATGAGGAAGATACTGTAAAAGCTATAATAATGTTTATCCTTTCTTTGTAGTTTGCTCTTTTGAGCACTGGAAACATTTTTCTAGTATATGGGAATTTTCAGCATTTTCTCCTCCAGACAGCTCTGGCTAAAGTGAGCCAGTAGGCAACGCTTCCATATCTGTAAAAAAGGAAAAACAGCACATATTTTTGCCAACCTCCTACAATACTTACACATGCAAGTAAATAAGCAGGGTACTTCTGTATTAATTGAATAGTAAGGCACCTGATACTAATGTCACAAGAGTAGGCCACAGCTAAGCAGTTAGCTGCTAGCAGTGGAAAAGCCCTCTGTTTAGTGTTTAAAGCAGCCACAAGAAGAATGAGACAGCTCTACAGAAAAGCAATGCCATAGAAGTAGAGAGCAGACAGGGAGGGATATCCTATCCAACTGGGAATCTCCTGTCTGAGTTAATCAAGGTGATGATTAGTGGAATAATTAAACCCTGCATTTATCAAGAAAATCTTAATCATGTCTGTAGTCCTTTCCTGAGAAACAAGCATGGATAACCAAAAGGCTTATGTGCTCACTAAAGGCCCTGGGCATCAAGCTCTACATAGTTTCCCCATTCTTCAGCCTGCCCTTAATGCAGAAGAACAGCTCATAAGCGCTGATATAAAAGAACTGGAAAGAATTTGAAGGAAGGGAGAAAGGAAACTAACTAGTGAAAAGGCCTGTAGGACATAAAAGTAGAAAGCAATGGCTGGAACATTGGGAAAGTGCAGGGATTTTGGACCTGAGAATAGGGAAGAAGGGAGAAAACAAAAATAAAACACACTTTAAAGTTCACCTGTTCTTATTTTGATGAATGATTCTTCTTTCCTATATAATCTTAAGAGGACAGAGAACTTGAAAAGCAAAAAAGTACGAAAATCAGCACAGCAAGTTTTGGGAAAAGATGTGGGTGATTTATTCTGTACAGGAAAATTAGATTGTGCATTCAGGGGAGTTTTGCCATGGCAGTATCATGTAGCCTACAGCCTTCCCACGTGCTCCTAAGTATTGTAGACAGTAAAGAGTAGTAAAGTATGATAAAGAATAGCTTCAAAAAACATAGAGTAGGACATATGGTGAAAGTGCTTTTCTAACAACAGTTACTTGGGTTAAAAAGATTTTATATTTACTAATAGCCTAAGATAAAATGTGTCATGCTAAATGTATTATTTATGCTCAGCTTTTATATTCATGATCTGTGAATGACACAATAGAAACAAGGTTGCTACCATGCTTTTCCTATTACCATGCCCAAGGCACGGTCAGGATACATTAGACAAGAACTTGTTATTTATATTCCTTCCTGAAGGATTTTATATCCATTTTAAACGAAAGGGACATAAAATAAGAATCCATTAGTTAAATTCTCACTTAAAACTTGATCTCATATGATACGGGGAGAAAAACCCACCTTGATGCAAAGATCTTTTACTAGTGATTTCATCAGCTCCATATGGATGCATTTCTTTTATTTCCTTTAGTGCAATGAGTTTTTCCTGAATGGCAAAAAAACCTCCAGTTTTAATATTACCCATTGTTTTAATCCATTGTAATCTCTAGCACAAATTTAAAATATGTTAAAATAATCCTTACATGTTACTAATATGACTGAAGATCACAAAATCTGATTGAAGCTAGAATGCAGAGTTTGGGACCAGTCTTTTTAGTATTTTAATATTTAGTCAAATTAAATTATTTTTGTCTCACTAAGTGAAAAGAAGTTCATTATGAAATTACTGTTCACTGATCTTGTATTTTCTAAAAAATCCCTAATTCTAGTAAAATTTGGTCTTCAGGCAGAGTCACAGCCATAAGGATCACAAAAGATATGACTCCTGGCATAGAACTACTCTGAATGCCATACAAGCAAAATCAACATCAGCAGCATAGAATATAGAAACATTAAATTAAAGCTAATATTTCTGTTTTGCACAAAGCCTGCAGAACTTCGGAGTGCAAATTCTACACTTACACAGGTAAACTTATTTTATCATCTTCTTTTTCACAACAGAACAGTTGTCTGTTCATTTCAATATAGAAATTCTACCTTTCACTTATAAATACCTGGTATTTGTCATGCATAAGTGCATGTGTGCAGTTTGTATGTCTAACATTTGCAGTAAAGGTCTCAGTATGTAAAGTTATATTGCAACGTATGCATAGGTAGCAGAATAGGCATACTGTTAGATACAAGAAATCATCACCTGAATCAGCTCATGGGCCAAGCGTCCCAGAACTTCTTGGGTTGTTTCATTAATTTCTAATTCTGTCATGACTTCCCAGTTACCATTCTGGAACCTCACTGGCATAGAGAAGACAATTCCTTTAGGAACACAAAATTGACCTGAAGAAGAGGGAAAAAAATGACCCAAACATAATATTTCTGATTAAAAACACACCCTCACCAATGTCAAGATTAAGTTCTACAGACTTCCAAAAGTCTGCAACTGTAAGATCTTAGTGTAAAAAGAGACTGGCTTTTTCAGTGTACAGTTCAAAAACTAAAGAGTTCTCCTTTTACTGTAATATTGTATTTTAGTTAGATGTACATGAACTATAGAATCGTAGAATAGTTTGCGTTGGAAGGGACCTTTAAAGGTCATCCAGTCCAACCACCCTGCAATGAGCCGGGACACGTTCAACTAGATCAGGTTGCTTAGAGCCCTGTCCAACCTGACCTTGAATGTCTCCAGGCTCTGGGCAACCTGTTCCAGTGTTTCACCCCCCTCATTGCTAAAAAATTCTTCCTTATATTTAGTCTAAATTTACCCTCTTAGTTTAAAACCATTACCCCTTGTCCTATCGCAACAGGCGCTGCTAAAAAGTTTGTCCCCATCTTTCTTATAAGCCCCTTTAAGTACTGAAAGGCTGCAATAAGGTCTCCCCAGAGCCTTTTCTTTTGCAGGCTGAACAACACCAAATTTCTCAGGCTTTCTTCATAGGAGAGGCGTTCCTGATCACTTTTGTGGCCCTCCTCTGGACCTGGTCCAACAGGTCCATATCTTTCCTGTGCTGTAACACAATTGTTGTAACAATTTTACATCTTAAAAAGGGGAAAAAACACATTTTCTAAAATTTAATACAAGGGTTAAATGGCTGTTGTGAAATGTTCCATGTATTGGTCCACGTAACCACATAAGAAGAACAAGCTTTTATAGCTTAGGCTCTAAGTCCTTGTGCAAAACATATACACCATAAAAACATTTAAAATAAAAGACTAAGAGACAATCTGCAACAAGACAATATAAACCTGAGAGATGCTTGTAAGAAGTGAGTATCAAATTACAAGCTCTGGAGAGCAAAATTGCTTAGATTTGCAGGTTCTCATGCTGAAACAATCTCTCAGCCTCCCAGTATATCATTATTTGTTGTACAAGTTTTTATTGAATTAAAAATCTTGATAAAAAAATAACATTATACATACTGGGGAAACCTACAAGAAAATATGTGAAGCAAAAGTAGATTTACCTTCAGTAAGTATTCCCACAGAAACGATCTCTCCAGGAGGAGAGCCATGATACCAGTATTTCAGTGCAGTCGCTACTGCATGAGCAGGTAACATTCCTACACAATGACAGACCCGGGAACTCAGAGAACTCTGCGCAGACAGAAATTCTGAATGCATCCATTCACTACCAATGGAAAAAGAGGAGGGGGGAGGCAGGGGGGAAGGGAAGGAAGAAAAAAAATAAGATGACTGCAGGAAGAGTGGTTTTCTAGAAAAAAAAAAAAACAAAACTGAACCTGAGGGAAGAAAATAGTCAAAACTTATTTGAACTGCACTGCTGAAGGCAAGGCACTTAAAGACAGAAAAAATAGGGTCTAACAAAAAGTGTCTCAAAAAGTAACAACAAGCACTAGCTATCTATGAAAGTCAGGTCATTTACTCACGTCATAACCTCTATTATTATTATTTATACATATTACCTTCTTATGTAAGAACCCACCCATGAACCACAATTCCCCTGTGTTAGGCACAGTACAAGTACAGAACAAAAGAAATGCTTGCTGCCGCCCCGTAAATGCTAGGTTTAGACCAGAGTGGCAGCTCCATACAGCCAGGCCTGTGTCACATCTGCTGTCCTCTCACTGCACCCATTTTTTGTCAGCTACTTCTCTTTCGACAAGAAGCTATTTGGCTGCCAGATGTCCTTTTTTGCATATGTCACAAATTGTCTGTTTTAGGAAACTGACACATTAGTGTGCTCAGGCCGCATGTTCAATGGAATTCAGGTACAGACGCAGATATACGTTTAGTATTATTTCAGAGTTTATTCATGCATACTAGACATTTAAGTCACTATCTGGACTTTCAATCCTTCTTATAGGCTGCTCCCTTATATGATAGAAGAGAAACACACTTAATAAGCAGGAAAATATAGATGAAGTTGGCAGAAGAATCAGACCTATATATAGCACTAGGAACTACTCAACTTCTTTTGCAGACTGAGTACTTCAACTTGAGTTTTCCTTTACGTACAGCGCTAATCAGTAAAGACAAATCTTGAACACAAAAACCTTTCTTGATGTTTATTAAACAGTTCAGATAAACACAGATTAAAACAGTTATTTAGTTTTACTTTAAAAAAATAAATCTGTAGTGTACCTATCATAAATCATATTCAACAAAGGATGTGGAAAGTTAGCTGGGCCCCAAATAGCACAGTCATATCCATAAAGTTTTGCATGTGACAAATCAATGTAGTTACAGCCAGTAATATTGCCCCAAACAATCACGTCTTTAACTCCTGTAACAGAGGAGAAGATGTAGATTAAGAGACAGACAAATACTTTCACAATGTAGGCTGGACTAAATGAAGTCCCTTTCAAGATGAATTATTCTTCAGTTCAGTGTCCTGCCTTGACAGCAGAAATTATTTGATCTGAAAAATGCAACAAGGTTCTCCATAACACATGAAACCTCACCACAAGCTGAAAAAGGAACTTTAATTTATATCATGTTATTGTACATAATAGACAAAACCTAGTAAATACTTAGCTTTTTTGTTGTTGTTGTTTTTACCAAAACAAATCATATTGCAAACATACAGTAATGTTCCTTTTAAAATCCTGTGCATGCAAATATAAAATGCCTAACAGTAAAAAAAAAAAAAAACTGAAAAAAAAAATCTACCTGCTTTGGTGCAAAAGGAATTTCTCAAATAACCTGCTGGTAGGCTGCTCAGCCTATTAACTTGCATTTCTATTTTATTAGGCTCCAAAATATCTAAACTTGTCACTGATGACCAGTTCCTACTGCTGCAGCATTCAAAGAATGCTGATGCTGAGCAGGCTGTTGGAGCACACCTTTGCTATGAAGTGCAGAACCGTGCACTTCAGGTATGACAAACCTATAAGCTATAACAATGACCTAAGAAAGCAAGCTAATTAACCTAGAAATAATACTACAGTACAGATCTGCTATACACTCATTACCTGCACAGCAGTATGTTGTCATGTTTACTCACAGCTAGTTTGTGTGTCTCCAAAATAACAATGCGCTGCAGAGTGCAAATGCAATCTTGAAGCCCTAGCTCCTGATCTGCAACACAGCTCAGTCCTCCTTAGTATATTTACAGCATGAAATACACATCAGAATGGCAGGTCTGTGTCCAAGAGTTAGTAAAAGAATTGACATTCACGGGATCAGGCATAGATCCAGAGAGTGGTAAGCACAGAGAGCAGTATCACTTGCTAGTCACACCCTGACATTCTGTGCAGCCATGCAATTCAGCGGGTGCACTGCTGTGCTTGCATTTCTGTTGGCACATCAACTGTGTTCTGCAATGAAATATGTAATCCCAAAGGTGTACACCCACCTAAAATTAGCCAAATGCTACCAAAACACATAAATACTCACCTGATGCATTCATATTCAGCTTCCTGGCCAGCATGGCTTTAGCTGCATGTTCCCAGGATGTCGCAACAGCAATGACATTTTCAGGCTTAATGGATGGGCCATATGTCATAATCATCATCGCCTTAAGGTTTACAAAGGTTTTTCCTGATGAAATTACTTTGACTTCACTCTTAGCATTCTTCTCAATCAGAGGAGCATATACTTGACAGATCTCACTCACTTCTCTGATGTAGTTCTCTAGGGACTGTACTTCCAGGTTTAAGAGGACATCGTCAAGAATAATGATAATATCAGCTTCAATAAAAGCCTCATCTATTGCAGTGTGCTCTGAAATACTGCGGAGGAGTGGGAACGCCATGTCTTCAGCTTCCATTACAATACCACAAAGAACTTCCTTAAACTGGTCAGTGTCAAGTAGATGGATACTGATTTCTGTAGTCATCCCAAACACTTCTCCACTTGCCAACAGAGGGATCAGCTGATAACAGATTGGAGCTGATGCACTGATAAGAGAAGGATATAGAAAAATTATCGCTAATGACTAGGTACTGCTTGTTTGGAAGTATTACATAAATAAACACAAAGACCTTCCTTTTGTATTTGATTATGTTTAAATGGACTATTAGTTTGGATGCTTTGTTGCTCTTTCTGTCATTTTAACAGGTTAAAAACTGAAACACTTGGGTCCTCTATTCATTTGAAGGTTTTTTCATTGTATACATTTCAGTTGATACTGTCACCTAAAAACTGGTATCTTTAAAGAACGACATTTTTTTAAGGTGCTCTGCTACGACTACCAGAAATACAGAAACTTCTAAAGCTAGAACTGCAAGAGACTCTTTACTTATTTAAATATTTCCAAAAACATTTAATGCAAGATAGTTGCACTACAAAACTCTTAGCTTGTTTTGTAAATACTTGCTTTGCCCTAAGGTGATCTGGGGTTTAAAACGTTGCCTGTTCACATTCCTCACTTAAACTAGTGCAAAATGTAACAAAATTAGAAATAATTTCTAAATTATACACTGAATGCTCATAGGGAGGGGTGCAGAACCTAATTCAAATCAGCAAATTATAGGGATTAGTGTTTAACTTCAGATGGTTACATCTGTTATGTGTGATACGAAAAAGTGCATTCTTCTGAAGCTGAGAGAAACTTCATAGATATTCTTTTCACTCTCACCTGGTCATCCAGATCTGCAAAGGCTTGATAAGACTTTTAATCTCTTCCTCCTCTTTTTCATTTTCAATATGTGCCTGCAGGTTCTCCTCAGCAATGTCTAACATCTCCTCACTCAACATCTTTGAGGTGATGCCATAATAGCGCTAAGAACAAAAAGGATGATCTCTAATCAAATGACAACCCAAACACAGCGAAGTAACATTAGAAAGGATAGCTTAAGTTTACATTTGAAGGAGGAATAAAGAACAACAATTTTGTAAGAAAATGTAAAACATAAGTTTACAGTATTAAAGGCAGCTCATTACCTGAGCATATTCCAGAAAATCATTAACTCCTCCCAGAAGGAGACCTCTCCCTCCACGGTCCAACAATTCTCTCCAAACGATAGGAGACTGTCTGTGTTCCCATCCATTTGTTTCACAAATGTCATGAAGCCACTGCTGATGTAAACATCCCCACCAAAAGGTTTTAATACTTTTTCACATTTGCTAACACTTAAATTTTACAGCTATAAACATTATTTCCTCTCAATACATAATTACAACATGCTTCACAATCTATGTACCAGTGCACGCAAAATGAGGGAGTAACACAAAGCAAGGCATAGTGATATGCTGTGATACCTCAGCAAAAGAGCAAAAGGTCTTACTTCTGCCTGATTTTACTGCTGTAATTTTGCTCAGTTGTCTTAGCGGTACTGAAGATAGCAATGTTGTGAAGCAGAAAGTAATCTGGGATCTCCTATTGAGCCACAGAAGGTAAGTAAGATGCAGAGGTTAATTGCTATTCACTTAACTGTTTGAGTTACTTGGCTGAGGTGTCAAGGAAAACATAAGAGGTAATCAAATCATGGTACTATCTCGTGAAATAATACTGCCATTTTTTCAGTTCCTTATAGAGATTACAGTGTAGACATGGCAACATGGGTACAGTAAAAGTTCTCAGTAAGGCCCATCCACACTGCAAATAAAAATGTGAGATTTAACGTCATACTTCCCTTGTAATTCAAAGACCTTGAATGCCAGAAATGCTCTTAACAAGTAACATCTCTGAAGGCATATGCAATCACAGTGTGCAAAAGATTTACAGGCTGAGCAGCTATTCATACCCAATAAAAAAAATAATAAACTTGAACTTTTTACTGACAAAACACAGTAAAAGGCTGGCCCACATTTTGTGCCCATCTTCTGTGGCAAGACTCATGAGAATACCAGTCTCACAACAATCAAACCTCTCATCTGGCTGGCTCTTGTGGCCAAAGCTACTTCTGAAGCACCTCTACCCACATATCAAAAGGCTAATATAGGAGGAGAAGAAGCATATTACAGATAAGCACATCTGTTGCTTTGTAGAGCACTGGGGCACCTACCGATGACTAAATTTACAATCCCTTACCTCCCATTTGTCAGGGTGCTGAGTGATCTTGTGAACCCTGAAGTCTGGCAGGTTAGCCTGGAGATAGTCAGCAAGGAGTTCAACTTTGGCATAGTACGGGCAGTTTGCCTTACCTGTGAACACAGCCACACAACCACCGATGGAAGATTTTGTGACATTAACTGATATAAGTTTAAACAGGCCAAAGTTTTTTTAATTGTTGCAATTTAAAAAATTATGCAACCAGCACCCCGTGAGTTCCCAGAAAGTAACAGGACAAGCATATGAGCCAGAAAAGAAATGATAATTTCGAAGATGAAACAGCCTTTTCAGTCAGCGTTTCAGGGGCTGAGGAGGCCACCCCGGGGCGGACAGCAGCACAGAGGCAGAAGCCCCCACAGCGGGATGAGGGGAGAAGGCTGGCTCGGAAGCGGCTAAG